TATGGAGCTTGTTTCGCCCTTACTGATTCGTAGCATAGCACCGTACCTTTTCGTGATCGCCTTTAGTATGTCACGGCGATGTTTGTTGCTCTCTCATTCGCATATCATATGCGTGCTCTGGCTTTTGTGCCTTTCTAGTGACCCGTGCAGTTTCCTATATTTCTGTCACTATTTAGGTGATTTACTTCGATTGTTTTGGTTTAGATGTGTGAATCGAAACTCGTGGAGTGGTGGCCATTTTATACAGAACATTGTTTTTGGCCAGTCGGAACAGTGCCCCGAAGGCATCGTGATCTCCGAGGAGCTCAGCGATGGTACGTGAACCGTTGGCCTATTATTTGTGATTTTTTTTCTATAATTTTTCGAAAATAATCGTTTACTCCTGCTAGAATTTCTAGTTCCTCTACAATGAGGTTGCTGACCGACCTAAAGAACAAAAAAAGCCATAAATTCAGGCAATTTCAGAACCTAACAGGCCATCAAATTAGCTCCTGACCCAAATACAGTATCGTAACGGTTCGCTGGTTGTATTGGCAGCGTTTAACCTCCATACTCCTGAGTACCTCTTGACTAACTCACGCATTACGTAACCCGTCACTAATGGGTTGGCCCGACCCCGTTCCGGTAATTGACGAATGTTAACCACTTATTTTCAATGTCACGAGCGGATCCGTAGTAAATTTATCGGGAAGGATGTGTTCTGCGGGTAATTATCGGCACGTATGCATGCGTTGACAGGTATGTCAGTCATTTCGTGGCAGGACCCACTGCCACACTGGTGATTATGCGTGACTTCCGGCCAGATTGCGCCATAGCGTTTTCTCAACGACCTTAGCGGAGTCGATCCGGAGGTCATGTATACTGGACGGTTAGCAAGTTTAATTGCGCACGGATGTATAGGAGTCGCAGAGGGGAAAGCGAGGGTTAGAATTATGGGGTTTTAGACTGAGAGTTATATTAAGGCGGCGCTCAAGAATAATTTCTGATGAAACATTTTTGACTGGAGTTACAACACTGGGAAGGACCATGTAGTGATTAACATCAGAATGGGCACTGCTGTTGGCTCTACTTGGGAACCGGCCAAATCAGGTACCGGAAACGCTGCGGTTGGGATGCTCTAATAGTCTAAGTGGGTGCTGTTCTTGCTCAGTATCCTGATACTGTTGTTCAGCTTCCTTTCATGGAAACAGTAAATGAAAATGCCTCATCGGATGAGATTTTCTTTTTCAGAGCCGAATCCTGAACGAGTAGTGGACAGCCGAAGAGGAATGCACTCGCCAGAAAGCCTATTCCTCGCCTGTGGTCTTTCAGCGCTTATAGCCTTGGTGATAGGGTCATTTGTGAGTTGTCTTTTAATTAGTTTTCTCTTGTATCGAATTAGTATGTCTTGTCTGGGTAAGTAAGCTAGTTTCAGGTAACGTACCGAGTCACTCGAGCTCGTGTACTGGCCGAAGCCCATCATTCAGCTAGTTCGACAAGCGGTTCGGATTATGATAGCTTTGGTAGAGCTCGACTAACGAGGCATGACTCGTTGACGACAGCAGCAAAGATCGAGCATGTCTATGGAGCGCCACCGAAGGCAGTATGTTTGCAGTTTTGGTTCCAGGGCTTTGGAGGACTTACTTTCCTAGGTCCAGTACACGAGTAAACTAGATTTAACGCTGCTGAGTTGCGAACTTTCGGAAAGTTCCTTTGGTTTACCTTGCTTTATTTTGACCAACACCCCCTCTGAACCGGCATTCCTAACTTACATCCTGTCTGCAACTTTCGGAGGCTAGGGTAATAACGGGCGAACGAGCGACTTTTTCTGGGTTGTGGCCGACAATGAGACATCCGTAGCGGATAGATGTAATCCGTGGATAAATGTGATTGTGAATAGGTGCAATTAGAGTGAGTGAGAACGAGTTCGGCGGGCACTTCTGAGCGCGAGTGACAGTTTGCTACTCCTAAAAAAAATGCCAGTCAGGAATATGAACAACAACATTAGTAGCCAGGCCTAGCTAGCTTACCGTAAAGGTACACAAGATCAAAGGGTCGGAGTATTGTACTGTCCCGGAGCCTCTATGGAATCTAATTGTAAAAACAAAACAAAAGAGGCTCCAAAATTTATTTCAAAACACTCCAAAGATCCGAAAGAATCCAAAAAATTCGCAAAAGTTTATTTTTATTCCTTCCTTCGGATATTTCGGTGCTTAGCACCTTCCTCAGCAATATGAAATACTGCAGATGTGACTGTTGTTGTGCTACCTCTAAGTGACCGGTACTCGTCCCCGCGGGGGTGGAGTAGCTACCCCTGCGGGAGCCGCGCCTTACCGATTTTTTAGGAAGCACAACAACAGCCTCATCTCCAGTATTTTATATCGCTGAGGAAGGTGCTAAGCATCGACATATCCGAAGGAAGGAATAAAAATAAATTTTTTTCTCGCTAAAACTTTCAGATTCTTTTGAATTTTTTGACTTTTTTGCAATCACTTTTGGTGCCGCTTTTATTTGTTTTTACGCTGAGATCAAAGCGTGTTCAGAGCTAGGCGAGGCCGACGCGCGAGTGACTAGAACTTTGTGGAAAAGCAAAAATGTTTATAGTGGGTTTCTGGTAATAATTTGTCATTTTCAGAGCGTAGACGCCTCATCTCTCGTGTTAACGATGCCGCCAGCGATGACGATGAGTCAACATGGGTCCGGTATCAACACCCCGTCGAGGGATAAAAACGCGATCATGACGTCCATCAATCAGAACACGCTGCCACGCGACTATAAAGTGAAGAAAGTCTATTTGTAGTCGTAATTTTAGGCTCCTTTCCCTATGGTTACTATCCAACGTCGGCAATCGACACGACAATTCGCTTCCTTTTTTGGTGATTTCTCCTCTAACCGCCAACTTATCTAGCTTCCAAAGCGGAAAGTATAATCATGCGATCGCTTGCGAATTGTCGCGTCGTGCCGCTCGTTCCAGTGGTGCCAGTCGTCGTTCGACGTACGTGATACGTGTATTTGTGATGTTTCACTTGGCTTACGTGTGTTCGCGAGCGGCGAATTATCGCTGTCGGCGATTCCCGCACGCGACGCTTGTCGCCGCGATTCCTTCCTTCGACACCGGTGTTCGTCCCTCGTATTTCTGCCCCTGTCCCCTACCCCAATTTCCGTTTCATTCCAATTTTGTTCTAGTTTAAGCTGATTAAGTGATCTATAATGATTTATATAGAGTAAGCAGCTTCCCTTCTGGTTACACCTCGTGTGTGGAAGTTACATATTTATCGATTTGATCTCAGATGTAGCAGCTGTGGCCACAGTGTGTTGCTCTTTCTCATAGCTTACTGTACTAATTGTGTGTTTGTATGTGTGAGTTGTTCTATATTGTTTCTCTCAATGTGTCTCTCACAGCTCGCTCGATCGCAGGTGTATTATTACTATTCCACAGATTCACTATATGTTGTACAAAGTTCCATTGGCGATTATTGTCGGATGAATAGTCAAAAAAGTATGTCTGTTTGTCCTCTTTCTTATGGTTTCGACTGGGTACGGCTCTTTGTTGATGGAGATGGTACCACTTCTGTGCTCGTTTTCACTGTTTGTTTGAAGCCATAGACGCACCAGATGGTGTCGACCTAAATGGCGAACAGTGGCCAACATTGGAGCGAATTCGTGTAGGACAAGGGCGAGTAGAGCACGAAACGGTTCACATTCGAGCGGGGCTTCACGTCTTCATGAGGGCGGAGTCGGGCCTATCGCTGAGCTTACCATATAGGTGCATACGTCTCCCCTAAAAGGGTATAGAAGTGAGCGCCAAGCACCGAGACACAGTAGTAGTAGCGCATCTACGATTGTACTCTAATGTCCCTCCACGTTGCAAGTTGAAGGGTATTATGGTGAAGGCTTGTTCTTTGTATACTCGCATGCGAATGGGCTGCTAACCGAACCCCATGACAATAAGTGCAGACAAGGCCGGGGATCAGCCCTTGTATAAATTTTATTTCTGAAGGACATGTAAGAGATTTGTTGTTATAATTATTATACAGTTCAGAACGAAGGCGAATACTGAAAAAGGATAGGAAGCTACCGCTATTCATCAGACCACTTTCGAGATGCGCCACCAGTTTTACATAGATTTAGAATCGTAATGGGTATTGAATGCGATCTGGCCTATACAATGACTTGCGTGGGCCAGCCAAGCTACGTGTGTCTATTGCCTTCTCAGGCGGATCTGTACCAATTTACCGTTCCCAGAGGGTGGGAAGCTAGGTTGGCCGTTGCGGGAGCCGAGCCGGAATTTTACGCTCGCGCGCGTGGTGAGCGGACCGCTTGTCACCACAGCGCCTCTGCTCCACCGGGAATGGACAACGGAAAAAATATCAGCAATGGTGTCTGTAACTGTGTCAATCTAATCTTGTGTCATGGACTGGGACAAGAAAGGGGTATACATCATGCGCTGAGGCAAGGAAAAAAAAAGGCGCCCACCGTCAAAGCACATGTTGCAGATTGCAACAACGCGGTACTTGGCAGAAACCAAGCAAACGTTCCGAGTGCGCGCTCCTCTATCAAGCAGGATGTGCACTTAGCCTGCGAGACCTCTTCCAACGTCCAAGAAGGCGAGGCATCCATGATCACCGAGGAGCTTCTCTACATTATGGGTTTTCTGGTCCTTAATGTTTCTACAGATAACTTCTCAGTCAGTAACACGTAGACAGTATTAAACCCTCAGTTCTTTGCAATTGCATTTTGACGACGTGAGGAATCTGAATGCGTGTTCAACTACAAAGCATAACAGCATATCAACAACTCAGTCGAGGAAGTATTTTTTCTTATTGATGCTGACCTCTTGCCACGGGCGTGGAGCGTTACTCCAGAGTCGCGGCGAGTGCAGCAAAGTAGGCTTTGCGGGCGGGATAACGTACGCAGCATTCGCACCTGGACTCAATCCGTTCAACCTGTCTGTGCACGTCCATTCTCGACCCTCTCTGCGCTGCATCTCCCGAGTCGACTAGATTACGCTGTGTCTATGTCTGGCACATCAACCAGCTGAAAATCTCACATCAACCAGCTGAAATATACTGTTGCCGCAACTCGGTAATAACGGTCCACACCTCTTCGCCATTGCCGGACTTCTGTGATAGTTCCTTTCTGACATTTTCCATTTAGTTGCAAGGACCGAGCAAACACATTTGGATGGGGTAGCATCAGTGCTATAACTACATACAAAAGTGCTGCACACAAAAGAGTTAATCTTCTCAGTTCTTCTGCTTATGTAAATGATCCTTGTGCAGTGTGGCGCACGTTGTCGTAAAGGCTAAAGTCTGATTCGCCGCCAGAAGACGTTTTTTTTGAGCTCACGTCATCATTCTGAGATTGCCAGGACCATGTAGCATTGACTCACCATTAGGCAGCGTTCAGACTTCGCGACGGCAGCGCTTCGGTCGCGCGTTCGACGCGATCGATGCAGTCGAAAGCATGCGCATCGATCGTCGAATCGCGCGACCGAAGCGCTGCCGTCGCGAAGTCTGAACGCTGCCTTATCTGCCATTCTCTACATTATGGGTTTTCTGGTCCTTAATGTTTCTACAGATAACTTCTCAGTCAGTAACAACGTAGAAGTTAAGCGCTCAAATCAGAACGAAACTGTGTGCTGAGAATATGCTTTAAATGTCACTGTCAGGAGACAAACGACAGTTAAGGAAAAAAGAGAAGGAATGGATTGCATATTAATACTCCTTCAGCGTATAAAAGAGTAGAGTGTCCACTTACCGCGTC